TAGAATCCACCTTTGTCCTGCCTTGGGTTACCACTTAGCTTGGCAATTATAGTGTGAAACTGCCCCTTCATTGTTGTTTCTGTTTTGAGCCTCCCAGTGTTAACCCTCACTGCCAGGCAGTTGACACTGGCATCTCCATGTTACGTCAGTAGGCCTGTGCCACCAACAACATTCCTGTTCCCACGGTGACACATGAAGACCTATGCTGGCCCCAGGCATTCCCATACGTATTTCAGAATCAAAACTACAAAGATACAAACATGAGAGAAAGAAAAGGTAAGGAAACCTACCCAGACTCTGATTTTCCCCGCATTGAGTGCTTTTCAGTTGACTGGAAATTCCTTCCAAAGTTTCTTCATTTGCGTTGCTCCTGCCTGTCTTCCTGCCTGTCTACCCAGCTCAGGATGCAGCATCTGTGTGGAGCACCTTTTGAGTGTGGAGACACAAAGCTCTTCTTTCCTCGTTTGGCATCAGGGTCCCATGCTTTTCTGAAACAAGAGTAGTACTATACGGAGTCTATGTCTGAGATCCTCTTCACGTTTTGTGGGTGCCAATTTGTAGTTTTTTCTGATTTTGCGTGGCTTTTGTTGCTCCTCCAGTCAAGGTGGAATTCTCCATCTCAGTGTCGTCCTTTTCTGACATTACACGAGCCAGACAACATTGTTTTAAGCCATTCATTTGCAGAGTTGAGGTGGCGTGGGCAGCAAAGAAGTGCCAAAATGAGATCTTTGCCCCTTGGGGGAAGCTTTGGGAAGCCCCTGACAATGACACTGTTCCCTTTGGCACAAAGGACTCTGCAGGAGGCCCCACCTTTGAACAAGGTGCTTTCCAGTGCACCACCACCTATACAGCCTGCCTCTTTTCTAAGACTCAGGTGGCCCAGGGCGCAAGCCAGCTTCATGTACAGAATCCAGTCTCGTTTTCTCAACAAGTCTTTGAGAACATGTCCTCGAGAGCCCACCTCTATGGACTGGCCTCTGGGATCCCAGTCTGGTGCCAGCTGTTCTGCAAGACTACATGAACATCTCTTAGGTTTTCAAGTACGTCCAACATGGCTCCAGTGAACATTGATGATGAGATATTTGATGCTCTCAGCTGCTAACTGAAAGTGTGGAGGTTCAAGTCCCCCCAGACATGCCCCAGAAGAAAGGTGCCATTGAGACCCTCACAGAACCCAGTTCTACTTGGGAGCACCACAAACTGGGGTCCCCATAAATTGAGGTTGAAATGAGTCACGTTGACTCAACGGTAGCTAGGTTTTTGTTTTGGGGTGTTTTTTGGTAGTGAATATGTAATTATATTAACAAAAATATCTCCTTTTTCTTTTATCCTAGGATGAAACTAAGTGAATCATTTCTAGTTTGGATAGTAGAAAGGTTTCTGATAGTAAAGTTTGTGGCAGGGATGCTTTCTCTAGATTAACAAAGGTATTTCAGTTTACACCGTGGGTTAATGCGCTGGACTGCAAAGTTGGTTTGAATCGCAAGTTTGGCAGTTCAAGCTCACCTGCTGCTCCTCGTAAACCCTATACAGGGTTGCTATGGGTCAGAACCAACTTGATGGCACTTGACAGCGACAAAGAATAGTATGCTATTTTATCTTAGCTCAGCATTTGACTTATCTAAAACTGAATATTTCCCTTTCAGGCCCAGAAGTTTTTCCTCACAGAGAACTGTTTTTTTTTTTTTTAAGGGGGAGGGTTGGAGAGGGGGAATTAATAGATTTGAAGTGTTCAAATGATTGGGATCATTAAGTGAAATTAGCCCAGACTTTGGTCTTTTTATTTTCTTTTTTATCATTCCACTAAGGAGAAGCAGGTACAGTTGGTCCACCATATCAGTGGGTTATGCATTCACAGATTCAGCCAACTCTGGATCAAAAATATGGAGCGGGGTGAACAATCATGAACTTCAAAACATTCTTGGAAAAATTATCTTATCTTTTAATTCTATTTTTCTATGAACTTTTTGAAACCCCTTTATAAGTGGTCAGAGTAATGACTCAGAGGGTAAGAAAGAGCATGAAATACTGTCTGTGTTGTATTAGGTATTATAAGTAACCTAGAGATGTCAGGAAAACAAAACTCCTCACCACTGGACCAATAAACAACATTCTTATCAATGGAGAAGAGATTGAGGTTGTCAAGGACTTCATTCTTCTTGGATCAACTGTCAACACTCGCGGAAGTAGCAGTCAAGAGATCAGACGACGTATTGCATTGGGCAAATCTGCTGCACAGGAACTTTTTAAAGTATTGAAGAGCAGAGATGTCAGCTTGAGGACTAGGGTGCGCCTGACCCAGGCCATTGTGTTTTCAATAGCCTCATATGGATGCGAAAGCTGGACAGTGAATAAGGAGGATCGTAGAAGAATTGATGCCTTTGAGTTGTGGTGTTGGAGGAGAATACTGAAAGTGCCATGGACTGCCAAAAGAACCAATAGATCTGTTTTGGAAGAAGTGCAGCCAGAGTGCTCCTTGGAGGCCAGGATGGCTAAGCTTCGTCTCTCATACTTTGGACATATTGTCCAGAGGAAACAGTGGTTGGAGAAGGATGTCATGCTGGGTAGGGTGGAGGGTCAGAGAAAAAGAGGAAGACCTCTAACGAGATGGATCGGCCAGGTGGCATCATTGATTGACTCAAGTGTGGCAGCGGTAGTGAGGTTGGCCCAGGATCGGACATTGTTTCGTTCTGCTGTGCATGGGGTCGCTATGAGTCGGTTCCGACTCGATGGCACCTGACAACAACAACAACAGAGATGATTGAAAGTCTTTGGGAGGATGTGTGTAGATTATATGCAAATCTATAATACTTGGGGCGATATGTCCTTGGAGTCAATCCCTGTAGGTACTGAGACGCAGCTCTTATTCCAGAGGCAGTATGTGAAAATCTGTATGTTCAACAAAGGATTCTCCCCTATAAAATGCATTCCATCATAGGGAGTCCTTTCTTATACATGATTCAATTTGTTAAAAACAAAGTTTTCATATATGAGGGTGAGTCAAAAATTAGCTGCACTCAGGTTATATTAAAACGCCATCTGTCTCCATGGCTGATGACAATATTGAGCATGAAATTAGACTAGACGAGTGACAGTGAATTATGTAGCAAATCATTTGCAAATCAGCCATTGCTCTGCCTATGAAATAATCCACGGCAGACTTGCGTTTCAAAAAGTGTACAAGATGGGAACTGCAACAACTCATGGAATAGCAGAAATGGAAGCGTTTGGACATCTGCAAACAAAATTTGGACTAATACTCGAAGGAAGGTAAAAGTTTCTTTTAAAAAATCATTACTGGTGACGAGACAAGGATTCATCACTGTAAGCCTGAGAGTAAATGGCAGAGTATGCAAGGGAAACATCCTCAATCGCTGACCAAGAAAAAGTTCAGAGTCAACCATGAGCTAGAAAATTGATGCTTAAAGCTTCCTGGGATTCTCAAGGGCCAGTATTGGAACACTGTCGGATTCAACAATCAACAGTGCTTGTTACATTGAAATGCTCACTGAAGACATGAAGCCTAAATTTGGAGTAAATGAGGACTGCCATGCATGTCCACACACCTCTGCCCATACTGCTTACACCCTGCAGAAATTTCCTTTTGAGGTGTTAAAGCATCCTCCCTATAATCCTGATCTTTCTCCATCAGACTTTCACCTGTGTGGTCCCCTGAAAGCAGCCCTTCGAGGATGAAGATTCACTTCTGATGAAGAAGTGAATACAGCAGAGCATTCGTGGCTTGCAGCTCAGCCTAAAACTTTTTTTTTTCCAAGTCTTTATTGTGAATTATGTGATAGTTTACATGGGAGAACATTAGCTTTACATTCATCCTATCGTAGTCCATTTCATTGCAATGATTACAATCCTATCCATGTATCATCAAACAACCAAAGGGTACACCCCGCAAGCCTGCACCCCCGGCCGTCAGCACACAGACCCTCTCCCTCCCTGAGTCCAGAGTCCCCAGCCAGTCCATCTAGCCTAAAACATTTTTATATAAGGGAAGATGAAATCTTGTTGATAGATGGACAAAATATATTGAAAAACAAGGAGATAATGTCAAGAAATATATTTGTCTTTTCTAAAAGTTGATAAAAATAAATTCTACAGCCAAAGTGCAGATAATTTTTGACACACCTTGTATTTTCACCAGCATATCTTCATTCACATTGTCCCATTATGTGACATTTAATGGCCCAGCCTAGGACTTGGTCTTTGGCAAACAAAAAAGTTGGTCTTTATAAGTTAGCAATCTGGAAAATGTTAATATATCCCAAGCATTCCTTAACAAAGTTGGATTTATTGATCATACATTTACCTTAAATTTGTTGATGCTGTCATTCTGTTTTCCTCTTGTATTTAATTATTATTCCTTTTTATCCTTTTTACCTCAAGTCAAAGGTTGCAAACTGAAATGCCTCACATCATGAATCAGTGAAGCGGTCTGGGTGTAAGAATTGAAAACGTTAGAGTGGGCCTCCCTTCTTAAGGGACCAACCACTCAGTTTTAGTCCCTTGTTTCCATGTGGAAATGTAGGACCAGCGTGACCAGTGTGTTCTGATTTTTCACTAGATGCCTCAAATCTGAAGTTCTAAACATTGACAATTCAGTCAATAAATTACAAAGACAGTGCACAGAGCAGTCTGTAGGCACCCCAGAGCTTATTGGTTTGTGTGTGTTGATTACATTCCAAATGTACTTCCTAGTTTCTGGGACCTGGTATATGAGTCCATAGTCCCTCGAGTCTCTACCTCCTAGTTTTGTCAACTCTTATGATACCATTCTTCCAGCTTTAATTTTTAACACCCGAGATTTTGTGATTATATAGAAATAGCTTCATGTTCTACATTAGTTTCTTTACCCCACCTCAAGGCATGTATTAGTAAAATGATAAAATCAGCCTTCTGTTGCTATCAACTGTTATTCTTAAGGGTGAGTGGAAGTTTCCAAGATGGTGAATGGTCCCAGGCCAACTCTTCTTTCTGTCTCTCTGCAGCCATCATTCCATCAAGTTGATAACGTTCGGGGAACCCGCCACCATGGTCTGGTGGAGAGACCAGCCCGGAACCGCTTCCATCACCTTCATCGAAGAGCTGGGGACAAGCCAGGAAGACAAATATCCTTTTTCACTGTCTGAGAGGAGTGTTCATTTTGAAATGTTTAAAAAGAGGAGTGTTCATTTTGAAATGTTTAAAAGATTTTCAGGACTTACCGTCTATGGAAGTCTTCTTTGGCCTCAGAGCCTTCACTTTAGCTGATGAATTGTTGTTGTTGTTAAGTGTTGTCGAGTCAGTTCTGACCCATAGCCACCCTGTGTAGGGTTTCCGAGGAGTGGCTGGTGGGTCTGAAACACCGGCCTTGTGGTTAGCAGTCCCATGCTGATCCTACAGCACCATACCAGGCCCCCATCTGATGAAAAGGAGACGGTAAATAGAAATGAGCTAGAACCCAGAAACATTTCTACAGTGAAAATTCGGAAGGATCATTGTAGGTATTTACTGTATGAAAACATCGTTAAAGTTCAGCACATGTTCTTGGCAAGTTAGTATTAAACCTGGTTTTTAATCAGTTTACAGAGATTAGGCTATTTAGCTAAAGCAGATATGGATATTTGATTTATTTGTATTTCTTTTGACCTGCTGACTTGCTGTTAGTACTTACAGAAGAAATTTCATACACTTTTCTATTTGTGAAATTTCACACCTAATGCATGACATGTAAAATATAAACTGATATTTAGAAGGAACATTTTTACACAGTGATATACCCTCCCACTGAACTCTAAGCTGTTAGGAAGAAATAAAGAAAATGAGGTCGTGAGATCCTGTCCATAAGTTTTAGTTACTCACTGTGGCACAGTGGGTTAATGCCCTGGACTACAAAGTCAGTTTGAATTGCAGGGTCAGTGGTTTAAGCTCACCAGCTGCTCCTCGAAAACCCTATACAGGGTCGCTGTGGGTCAGAAACAACTCCACAGCACTTAACAACAACAATAACAACAAATCTAAGGGGTGAGACTTCTGTGTAGCAAACATTGAGCCAAGGGCGTTGGGGATACAGAACTGAGCTAGAATTTGTGGGCAAGGATGAGAGACCCCGTGCTCTCACTCACTCTTCGCAGCACCCAAACACTGGTGTGGAGTGGGTCTTTAGCAGAGATATGAAATGCCGGCAGTGAAATTAGAGTTGGGTTCACAAGCCCAGAAACTGGGAAGTTGAGGAGGGCACTCAGGTTTACTAAGCATCTCTCCATACCAGGCACTGTGCTGGGCAATCCATGTCATTTAGTTCTCAACATGTACTGAGTAGTTGGATTTTTTTGAAACCCCAATTTCCACTGAGGAAACTTGCCCTGAATTCCACTGCTAAGATTTGAGGAGCCCAGACTCAGCCCTGAGCTGTGCTCCTTCCTGGCCCTCCCCCACACATGTTCAGGACCAGATGCAGGACACCTCAAGTGAGGGACTGGAGGTGGGAATACCAAGAAAATCAGGACTTTTGTTGCCTTCAAGCTTCCTGCAGTTTGTAATCATCTTTTTGGAGACCAGGAGACTCCAGGGAGTGTCTTTCTTCTGTCCCATTCCTCCCGGCGACTCTAACTTCTAGTTGTGTATATTTTGTGACCATCATCAGGGAAGATGAAGAAGCTAAATGATTTTGCAAAGTCTTTTCTGGAATGTGTGATAACTTTTACATAGGATGCCAAAGGAAAAGGGGACTTGAGCCAGTTCTTCAGCTAATTCACACATGTGGGAGTGGAGTAGTACTTCAAATCATTGTCTGAATTGCTTGGAATTTTCCAGCAGAAGACTTAAAGTAGTAGTTTTGCTTTAATTAACCATTTATCTTTTTTCCAGTTTCCTCTTCTCTTGGGCTGCTGTCTTTATATATATTAGGTTTATATTTCACATAATATATTCTAATATGGACTAAGTAGAGCTTTATTAATCAAAGGCATAGATTTTAGAAGAGGAGGGAATAGAAGAAAAAAGAAGACAAAGTTCATTTGAAACCATTTGTTAATTATGTAGTCATGTCACATCCCATTCTAGACACTGTAGATTTACCAGTGAACATACTGCAATCCCTGCCCTCGAGCTGAAGTAAACAGGTTGTCACAGCACAGTGTGTGTATAGTTGAGGCAGCCCAGGAACTGTGTGAGCTCATAGAGTGGGCAGCCTGAACCAGTCTTGGTGGGTGTCTCAGAGATGGCTTCTTGGAGGAGAATTTGCTTCCTGTTGAAGGATGAGTAAGAAGGAAGGGTGTAATGTAGTCATTGATTCAACAGATTGCTTTTCTTTCTTTATTCTTACTGTGTTGTGAAAAGACACACCACTTAACGATTGGTCTGTGTACGCTCCAGTGACATTGGTGACATGCTTCAAACTATGCCACCTTTCTCAACATTGCCAAACTGGATCGGCATCATTTACATAAACTCACTGTCCCCCTGAGCTTCTTGTCTGTTCTACCGAGTTGCTGTTGTCAGTTTGATCACACAGTCAAGTCTTTAGAAGAGAATCATTCTTTTCTAATCAGGCTCAACTGCTACTTGGTTCAGAGATTGCTTCAGGCGATAGTTTTGGCTCAAGCTTTAAAGATTTTCTCAAGGTAATTATTTCAGGGGGTCATCCAGCCTTGGTGGCTCCTGGAAGTCTGAATTCCATGAAAATTTGAATTCTATGTTCAACAGATACTTTTGACACTGCTTTAAGCACGGGTGCTCAGTGATGAGTAAGACAGACAGAGTCTTAGCCTTCCTGGAATTTACAGTTCTGAGAAAGGTAACAGACAGCAACAGGTTTAAGAAAAAAGTTGTTATTTTCAATTGAGGAAGATCATTGTGATGGCAGCAAGTGCTGTGTAGAAAGTAAAGCTGTAGGGGAGGGACTGGTGCAGAGGAAGCAGCGGCATGTGAAGTCTTAGAGCGGGGGTCTACGTTGTAGGGTCCCTAGACACTCCCCTCTTCAGGAGATAGCTCTGTCTCAGGTATGGAGTGCTGCAGGTATGGAGTGCTGCTATAACACAGATACCACAAGTGGCTGGTTTTAAAGAACAAAAATTTATTTTTTCACATCTTCTTGTTGTTAAATACCAGCGAGTTAGTCCCGACTCGTAGCTACCCTGTATAGGGTTTCTGAGGAGTGGCTGGTGGGTTTGAACCGCTGACTCTCTGGCTCAAACTGATCTTGTGGTTCAGTGCTTATCCCCCAGGACTCCACTTCACATTTTAGGAGACCAGAAGTCTGATTCACAGGGGCCAAGGCTTTCTCTGCCCACTCTGATGGAAAATCCTTGTCTCGGTTTCTCTAGCAATGTACTTGGTGTTCCTCTTTGAGGTATCCACGTGGCATCTATCTTTCCCTAATGTGTGCTTGCTTGCTTCTGATCTGCTCTTTTTATATCTCAAAGGTGATTGCCTTTAAACACCCCACATAATAGTTTATATAACACAATGAAGAAAATGCTATTCCCCAAATGACACTACATCCACAGGTATAAATGCACTGCTCTCCAGTCAGCTCCAGCTCCTAGCAGCTCAGAGGACAGAACCGAGTTCTCCATGGGGCTTCCAAGATGTTAAATCTATGGAAACAGACTGCCTCCTTTTTCACCTGTGGAGTGACTGGGATTGAACCACAGACCTTTCTGTTAGGAGCCTAATGCTTAACCCTAGGTACCACCTGGGCTTCTTACATTCAACAAATAATATACAGGTGTTGTTGTTAAGTGCCATTGAGTCACTTCTGACCAATAATGACCCTACATAGGGTTTCCAAGGAGCAGCTGGTGAGCTTGCAATTCAAACCAACTGTGTAGTCCAGCACATTAACACACAGCGCTACACCAGGACTCCATACACAGGTATGTTACTGTTGTTAAGTGCTGTTGAGTCAGTTCTGACCCACAGCGACCCTGTATAGGGTTCCAAGGAGCAGCTGGTGAGCTTGAACCACCAACCTCGCAATTCAAACTGACTTTGCAGTCCAGCATATTAGCCTACAGCACCAGGACTTGATACATAGGTATAGGGGATAGGATTTACAACACATATTTTGTGGGGATACTGCTCTATCCATAACAATATCATCGGGCATAACTGACCAGTTTGTGAGAGCAACAGCAAATCAGATCAACTCATAAGGGGAGGAGAAGCAGAAACCACATTACTGTGCAGTTAAAAGCTGTTCATGAGAAAGTAGGAATCTGATTCACTGACCAGGAGATAACCTCTCCATGGTCTCCTCCTAGCCCCTAGTTAGGGTTCTAGGACCAGACATCTAATGCAAAGAAAGTTCTTAAGCTAGTCCATTAAATTTGCTAGTTAAAATCTCTTTTGAAAAACCCAGGGGCCAGGAGCTAGTTATATAATATAAAAGTGAGATGATTACACGTAGACATTATTAATCTATCTAGGAGAACTCAGAGGAGGACCATGGTTCCGTCTTTCCCTTTATAGTCTGTATTCTGTTGGTGGTGAACTACTTGACTTTAAATGGTTGCCTTTCACACTTGTCTATTACCTGATTAATGATGTTTTATCATTGTAAAGTATTAAAACTGGTGGGGGCTTTTTTTAAAGTTTTTATTGTGAATTGAGTGAAAGTTTATAGGGTAGATCATCAGTTTTACATTCAACAAATCACATACTTTGTTTCATTACAATGATTATAATCCCCTCCATGTACCATCTGTTAACCGTATTTCTCTCTATTCGTTTAAGCTCTCTCTCTTTTTTTCAAATACTCAGGTATCTATAATAATTTACACCACCAAAGGGCACATTCTGCAAGCCTGCCTCCTGGCTGCCAATTCTCAGTCCCTCTCTTCCCAGGAATCCTGAGTCCTCAGCTGCTCCCTCTCTCCATGTCCTCATCTCTGCCTCCAACTCTGGTGTCACTGCTTCTCTGGATAAGGTCCTGCATTCTACTTGTGCTCTTCTCCCTCGATGATCCTAGGGTCTTCTGTTTCTGGACTGTAAGATTAACTACTCCCCCGTTTTTGTTGCAAAACTTCTACCATTACAATTGTGACAGTCGCAATTGGTCATGATAATAATTATTCACTATTGAATCATACGAATCTTATCCCCATCTCGTTTCACCAGATCCATC